CCTCAAGGCAGAAGTAATTTATTCTCTTCCCACCTTGTCTGCTGGCAGTTTGTATGCTCTCTCAAGTGACATGTTACATGTAAGGATACATGTATTACATAATTGAAACTTGTGAATTATAAAAATAAAGGTTTTATATACCTAAATCTACAATTACTGCTACTTCAATGGCGACAAAAAGATAATGGTGATAGTTATACATGTAGGCTACAATGTAATGTAATGGCTACTTAAGAATGATCAATGATTTCATCGTGAAGTCTCCTTGTGTGATGTTCTTGTACTTCCTTAACCCTCTCCGTCGTGTTTTTACTATCGTATCCATACGACGTGTGGAACTCTCTGCCACCACTTAACCCTCTCCGTATGTCGTGTTTTTACTATCGTATCCATACGACGTGTGGAACTCTCTGCCACCGCTTTCCAAAGAGGAAATTTACTCGTTAATCCAATCCGTACGCTTTGCATAGCAGTCCGTCAAAATGATTTTTTGAGAAATACTGAAAGTTTCTAAGAGATATTCGCAATAAAAGTATTCTAAAATGTGAAGAATACAACCCTGGGGGTACAAAATGACCCTAGGGCGTACGGATAGGGTTAAAAAACGATCAAAAGTCTGATGAGTTGGAATTCTGCACAATTTAGTGTGTGATTGTTGTATGGATATATTTGTATATCAAGAATGTTTTTGTGATACATGACATGGGATAGAAAAAGGTGCGGCTTTTTATTAGTTCTTAAAGTCAGAGGGAACCAGCTGAATGGATAGTACATGTTTTGGGGTTTTTTTAAAACAGACTTTAGAAGGTTGTTATTTTTCTTCCAATAAATATTAACATGGCAACATGTTGAGTCAGCAATGCCTTTGCTGTTTGATTCACGGAAAGTATCTCTATAGAGTTGTAAGAGATATGAATATATATAGGTCTACAGAGGCTTATAGCTAGCCGTTTGTGCCTTATTTTTAGGAGGGAAAGGAAAGGGAGGTGGAGGGAAAGGGGCAACAGTCAACTGACCTTCAATTCTTTGTTGATGGATTTTGATTCTGTTAGTATTAGTATTAGTAGGGCACTGTAAACCTAGGATTATTTACTTAAATCTTGAATTTCTGGATTTTTGTTGCAATATTTATGATATAACTTGAACATAACAGCAAATGTCTATCACAGTTAAGAAATTAGAGTCCTATTGTACAGTTTTAGAAGTTGATCTAATCGTCTAATGAAAAAAAACCCCTGAATTATGGGAGAAGGCCTGGTGCAAAGTTTTAGTTCTCATTGTTTGTCATATATTTCAACCCATCCCTTTAATCTGTCCCTGTCGTTTTATGCAAGAAAAATTCTGAAATTATGCTGAGCCCAAAAATGTGAAAATATGCGATTCTGTTAATTTTAAGAAAGAATGATAAAGGAAAATAATCAGAAATTATGCAAATAATTGATCAAGTTTTGCTAAATTATGCGGGGTGCATACAACCACGGGGACAGCTTTAATTTGTGAAGGTGACCTCTTTTCACATAATTTCAGTCTCAAGATATTCTGTACCGTATGTTATTTAAAATTGTGTATCGTTTTTCAAATATCAAAAGGCCTGTTGTTACTGTTTGAAAAGTATTACAGAAGGTATAATTATTGACTGTAGTGGTGGTACAAATGGAGTGTCGCTGCTTGCATGGGCTGTTCTGTTTCGTTGACTTATAATATATACTTTGTAAAAAGAACTGATGCTGTAAGTGCAAGAGACTGATTCATTTGGGAAATGAAAAAAATAGTTGTATAGAGAAGCCTCACCCACTTGTGTTTTTAATATTACTTCTGTCTGGTTTTATGCAAGAAAAATTCTGAAATTATGCAAACTGAGCCCAAAAATGTGAAATTATGCGATTCTGTTAATTTTAACAAAGAATGATAAAGGAAAATAATCAGAAATTATGCACAAAATGATAAAATTTTGCTAAATTATGCGGGTTGCATAAAACCACGGGGACAGATTAATATTATTTATGTCCGGTTTATGGCTTCTCAGCACAACTATTTTTTTTCATTTATTATTATATTAGATTTGTTTTTATTGTTCTTGTATGATGAATGATTGCTCAGTAATAGAATGTGGTATGAAGTGAATGATGAATGCAACAGTGTACATAGTCTTTAAATTTTGTCACACTACAGATGCGCATACGACCAAAATTTGATGATAATTTTGCTCTTTTGGCTGCTAATAATATTAATATTTCTCTTACTGCACATGAACATGCATATAGATGTACTTTAAATGCTATTCTATGTAATTTGAACTTGATGCTGTGTCTTTATTGGTAATAAATTTTATGCAATTACAAAATAATTTTCAGTTCACTTTGTCGTCCTAATAACCCATACTTGTTATGAAAAGATTTATCTTGATGGTTTTTACTGCGAGAATAAACAATTTGCTTTGTTTTGTTTAATAATAAATTAAATGCAGGTATTTTTACGCCCCAATTGACGCAGTTTAGATTATTTAGGAGGCAGGCTGGTGCTCTGGTGTGGTTTGCTTCTATCAAACATCTATCGTCTTCCCTCCTTTTTTGTTTGTTACTCTCTTGTAACACCTCAAATCTTCGGCACTTATATGACCTTATAATGTTGCAAGTGCCGTAAAACCCTTACTAAAACTAAAAACTAATTTAGGAGGCAGGCTTCCAACCTTGCCTGTGGGTAATACATGACATGTACATCCTGGCTGTAAGACTGAGATGCTAACAGTGCGGTCAAAAATTTGTGGTGTAACCTATTGTCAAATATCTCCTTAACTATTGAACATAGATTCCCCAACGTTTGCACAATGACTTATACTTATATCAGTTTGTCTTAACTGATTAATATTTTTTAAACTCCTGCACACTGTATTCTAGAAATTTCCTTAATAAATACCAATAAAAAATCCAAGTCAATGCTTTCTACTGCTTTTAAAAAGTTTACAGCTCGGGAAACATCGCTTTTAAAAGCAAGTCTGTCATTGTTTTCTAATCGCGACTTTATGCTTATTGAACGCATGGTTTGAGAACTTTGAGGGCAAAAAATGTGTTCACTATAAAGTTAATTTCTTGTAACAAGTTTTGCCACTAAAAAGTGTCATTGGCGAGTTGTGATGTAGGCCATATTATGCGCATACACAATGTGTGCAAGAAGCGGGAAGTGCTGAGAACAATCCCATTTTCCGCGTGATGGAGATTTATACTATAGTTATTTATATAAATTTATGAGGAGAGTTTTTTAATCTAGCCTCAATTGTTTACTGTGAAAAAAATACGATTAAGTTAAGACAAATTGATACAAACTGCTGTGCAAAGTATGAGTGATGGTGATTCACCCATTTAAGAGACATTTGAAGATAAGTTGCGCCACGAATTTTTGACCGCACTATAAAAAATACTCCCCACTCAGGTCTCGTCGCCCGGTTTCAGTGTTAATATTAGCGAAAAATGGCCACCAAAGTTCGACAATTTCAGTAGGTTGAGAGCTCTTGAAAACGATAAAATTACAAATTTTTGCCTTTAATCAACATTTTTCTGTGAATTCAAAGTGGAAATGTGTTTTTTAAGTTTTTATATGGACACGAAAGGTGTTGAGTCAAAAACGAAAATTCGATAAAAATTGCCAAATTGGTGGAAATAAAAGTGCCTTTTTCTTGTTTCACTATTTTGACGAGCGCCTGATTTCACCAAGATGCCTCACATATTTTGTTCTCTGCGCTAAATTTCCTCTGTTTAGTAAATGAGCCACTCTGTTCTCAAACTGGACAAAATTAAACCTGACATCATCTTTGGCAAAGTCCTCCATCCTGAGAACGTCCACATTATTTTCCTTTCCTTTAGAGACAAGGCTTTCAAAATTAAAATACAGTTGGGCACAGATAAGACAAATATGGACAACTTGAAATCGCAGACAACTTACACAAAGTGCTATTTCCTCGACTATTAATTTACAAAAACTTTTTTGATTCAACAACTTGAAGATCCATTAAATTTTTTTTTAAAGACGTTTCTATGGGAATTTCACTGAAATATGATGATTTACAGCACAAAAATGTAAATTTGCAGTTTAGTTTCTAAGTAATCTAAGAACTCTCAAGCTTTGGCGGCCATTTTCTCGCTAATTTTATCTCTGAAACCAGGCGACCCCCACCTCCTTCCATCACAAATATCTTGATTTCTACTCATTTATAGATGAGTCAATTTTCCACCGAAAGCAAGACAAATGAACAAACTTTAAAATGATACCAATAACTCTACATGTCCAAAAATTGTTTAGTTTTAGTTTTAGTAGAGGTTTTATGGCGCTCGCAACTGCCTAAGGTCTTATGAGCGCCAGAAGATTAGAGGTGTTACAAGCGAGTAACAAACATAAAAAAGAAGGGGAGATAAGGATGATAAATGTTTCATAGGAAAGAAGAAGCAAACCACACCAGAGCACCTGCCAACCACCCACTCCAAAAATTGACGAGTGCCCGATTCCACCATGTTGCGACACATAATATGTGCCTGACTGTATTCAAATCCCTGGACAGACCTCACCTGGAATGCTTGCATGTCTTGTGGCTTTGTGGGAGTTGCCTTTGTTTAGTTCGGGTCCAGCAGATTCTCTTTTCAAATTGTTTCTTGCCTTGAAAGATCTTTTGCCACATTAATGTACAGCTTGCAAGGTGCAACAGTTTGCTCTTCATACCATGTGTCTACATCAGAACACTAGGGGCTTCACTGTAATGTAATCTTGTGGTAGAGGGTCAAAACCCTTGAAACACTAAGGTTATTTTAGAGACTGGATCTTGTATTGCAAAGTCCATTTCCAGCAGAACAGAGTCATAAGGATAGATGGCGTGTCTTAACAACTCTCACCCCCACCACAAGGTCACAATCTCTGTATACCATCAGACACAGAGTAGCTGCTCAGAGAAAGGATTGAATGACTCCATCAAAGAGAAAAAAGCAAATAAATGAAACAACAAGAAGTAAAAATACTTTTTCACTCAGTGTATTACATTTGTACTATAATCTACACAAAAGTGACAAAAAGAACAAAGGAGACACCAATGACACAAACACACACTACATTCATAATGCTCTGCTTAGTACTCAGTAAATGATGAACACTGACCTTAACTTTCTGTCCGCTCGCTCTTTTCTCCCACACACAATCAAATCACCACCATGTACACAAACCGCTCTCCCACATTGGATTTTCATACACATGTACATATCGCCATATAGTACAAAACCAAACATTTTTTTAAGACCACGAGTTCTAAAGAAAAAAAAGTGAAAAAAAAAAAAAGGAAGAAAGAAAATGATAATCGCACATTGCAGCAAGTTTGTACACATTTATTTTACTTTTACATCATCTTTTCGCCCTGATAGACACGCTGTGGTAGACCGTTCAAGAAGCAGGTTGGTGGAATATCCTAAGTAAAAAGATTTTTTTCCAACACGTGAATCAAACTCCTTCTGGGTGCCCGGTGGACAGCCTAATAACAATTACGTACACAAAAATGCCTACAAGCTTTTCATACCAGGTTATCTAATGTCAAAAAAATTAGCACTTAGAATTTTATGGTTACAACAGATATGAATCAGTGTAGTCTTAGGCTAAGACAGCACCTGGACATGGATGGCTGGTGCCTCTATAAATAAATCTTTGATGATGGTCAGTGTAATCTTACAAGAAATTAAAGACCCAGAAGAAAGAAAAAAGTTTAAAAAAAAAAAAAGCAAGTTTCTCTACAAGAACCAAAGCTTATGAGGCACCCCATCTACAGGCCATAAATCCCCACAACAGTACAGTCTATGCCGACATGATCTTGCCGGGACCAGCCAACAGCGGTGGGACTTTCTGCATGTCTGGCAGCATTCCCGAAAAAAAAAAAACGGGGCAGAAAGAAAAATGTAACAAAGACGTTTTTAGACTTTCTCTCTCAACTGGCGCGTGTGGTTAAATAAATTATATATATTATCTTTTTCACTCATGCCTTATTTTTCTTTCACACAGTCAACATCCAATCACTAACAGTAGACAACTTTTAATCTTATTAATAGAAGAAACTAATAACAGGCAAAAAGAAGAAGAAAACTAAATCTAGAAATACTCAGAGTCCCCACTCATCAAGAAAACCCCCCCCCAGAACTTCCCGGTTTCCTCCTTTATTTTAGTATTGTATAATCACTTTCAAAGTGATTTTTTTAAAAGACGACTGAGCTAAGAAGTACAAATGAAGTTGAAGAGAAATGTAAGATAAAATCCTAACACGACAATGGACAGTCCCTTTTCATGGGGTGTTAGAGTCAAGGAAATGGGGTTAATCTATAAATTTAATGTAACCTTTGATGTTCCGGCTTCTATTTTCATTTTCCTTCATTTTCATGGTGTTTTCTCGATCAGGAAATCTGAAAAATAAATTTCTGACTTTTTTCGTTTGAGTGGGAACCCTGAATATGCTTATATAAGGAAAATTTGACATCACCCATTCCAAATGGCGCTTTTCTACTGAAACATGACTAGAGGAATCAACTTTACAACCCACAGAATCACAGAACTGCCTAAGGTACACTTAACATACACAGGGAGAAGGGGGGCCAGTAATTTACAAGAACATAGACAGGAATGTTATTCAAAATCACACAGTTGACCACATCATGTCATGATTTTATAGGTGACTTATTCTCTCTCACACACACACACAAACGCACGTTTAGAGACCACTGATTAATAATTTGATAATTGTCCCAACTGTACACACCCCGTGCCGCACAGACATGCTGGACACCAGGCTTACGTTCTTCATAGCACGAACACACACACACATACACATGTACACACTCATGTACAAAAACTGGCATGTGACAGACACACTTGTAACTCACACAACATTTACACATAACTCAAAAGTTTCTGAATACGATCTCAACTATCACGGTACATATTCATGGCAACCAAAGTTGACAATATTCGAGACTCTAGGGAGGGGAACACCACCGTATTAAAGCTCCGCAGGTTATGTGATGACAAGAAAAACTTTGAAAGAAAGGAAAAAAAACACCCCCCCCCCCAAAAAAAAACCAATCAACCAAAGACCAACTATGGTACAGGGGATCACTAATGACAAGAACAGTCTTTTAATGTGAAAACGATGAGAAAAGTTCTCGCTTGGAAGTTTGCTGAGTGGTCATCATAGCTATTTGTTCATCATTGCAGGTGTGGGAAGTAGTTTTGTGCAGAAGGCAATTTGGAAGTCAATAATCATGCAATACTGCCCCCCCCCCTCCCCTCACAAATCCTTGGTGAACATTATTCTAATGTATAAAGTTATAACAACATGCAAGAAGAGGAAGAGTCTTTGAGCGTTGATTGAAAATTTTCATTGGAGCCGAAAAATTCCCATGCCTGCACGGATGAATGATGGTCTATATCAGAAAAAAACTTTACAAGTTGGTCTCCATACTGGCACTGGTTACCTGAAAAGAACAGAAAAATGAGATTGCAGATATTATTAGGAACATGCCAACAGAAGCAGGCAGTCACACAAGTCAACATTGATCTAGTTTTTATCTTTATAAATTTTAGAAAGAGTTACACAGTACTTGCGACACAAATAGATAATCTCATTAAGTGCCGAAGATTAGAAGTGTCACCGAGAGTATGTATCAGACATAGAAAAAAAATGACAGATGGTTGATAAGGAAGAATGAGCAAATATCACGAGAGCACACGCCAACCACCAACTCTACAATGACATTTTTAGAGAGCTTCACAGACTACATGATTCTGCTGTGCAGGGTGGAAGAAGACAGCAAGTCATCCACACGAAGGTCACACACTCTGGCAGGAACAAATCGAGGGCGGCCAAGTAAACTATGGTAAGTCACGTTTTTCACATTTTACAGGAGAGACAAAAATTGGATTTACTTGAAGCGTTTTGGGAGGACAAATTTCATTTTCATAAGGGAGCCTAATGTCTGTCATGGCATTTGTAGGCTCCCTTATGACAATTAAGTTTATGCACCCAAAACGTGTCCTGAAAACCAGGATTTTTTTGTCTCTCTAGTAAAATTTGAAAAACATGACTAACCATAGTTTACTTGGAGGACCTCAAAATTAGGTCAAAAGTATCTTTTTGCTTTTTTGATAAGTGTTTTTCGGCACTTTGAAAACAATTACATCATGAAAGTAGAGACGCTTAGAGGCGTTACAGGAGAGTAACAAATACATAAAAGAAGGATTTAAAAAAAGTTTTAGTAAGAGTTTTACGGCACTTGCAACACAATAAGGTCATATAAGCGCCGAAGATTAGAGGTGTTACAAACATAAAAAAGGAGGGAAGATAGAGACGATAGATTTTTTATAGGAAAGAAGGAGCAAACCACACCAGAGCTCCCGCCAACCACCCACTTATAAAAGAAGGAGGAGAGATCAGGATGATTAAAATTTGATAGGAAAGAAGGAGAAAAGAAACCCACCAGAGCACCTGCCAACCAGCCACTAGGTAAAAAAAAACCAAACAAGTGGATAAAATACCCAGAAAGCAAAGTAGAGCTGGTCAATGACTGCATTATAACAGAAAGATTGTAGTGTAAGGAAGACAACTGTGTTACTGACGACATACCCAAAAATGTGCTATAATATTAATTTCCTCTTATACCTCAACATAGAGGTCTTCTCCGAAGCAGAAAGTTGGGGTTCAAGCCTCGGTTCGGAAAGTTGGGGTTCGAGCCTCGGTTCGGACACGAATTTTTTCCGCTCCATACTGCCCACCCAGCAGTAATGGGTACTTGACTTCGAGTTGGGGAAGTAAAGGCGGCGTGGAAAGGAACTGGCCACCCTACCACAAAATGCCAAAGGCCCAGGAAGTTGTCTCACCAACAAGGCAATCCCCAATGTCCGGATCGGATGCGGGAACAACTTTACTTTTTTTTTTTTTACCTCAACATAACAAGTGTGACCAACTATTTGATGCTCTTCACAACTTATTGCTGCAGTCTTGCATTAGCTCTCCTTCAATAGAAATGCGAATTGGCTACATCATGTCAAAATCTAACACTAGCAGAAATAGATTCCAAAAAAAAAAAGGACTGTGAGAAAACAATGATCAGATCAACAAAACATACATCAAAAGGCAAAGAAAAAAATAATTGTGTTACGAGGTAACGACGTGGTGGAATCAGGCACTCATCATTTTTTGGGCATATTGGGTTATCAGTATCATCTTAAAGACTGTTCATTTGCATTCCTTTCGATGAAAAAACCCCCAAATCTTATGTTGAATAGAAGTCGAGATATTTGCACTTGAAGGAGATCAAGGTTGCCTGGTTTCAGAGGTAAAATTAGCCAGAAAATGGTCGCAAAGTTTGGTAACTTCCATAGCCTGAGCGTCTTTAGAAAATAAAAATTGATCATTTTTGTGCCTTTAACCAATGTTTTTCAGTAAAATCCACACAGAAATGTGTTTTTAAATAGATAAAAAAGGTGTTGAGCCAAAAAAACGAAAATTAGAAAAAAATTGCACATCGGACAAAAAATGCCAATTTCTTTGATGTCATTATTTTGACGAGCGCCTGATTTCACCACACTGCCTCACATTTTTTAAAAGTTAAATAAAATATTTATCGGGAAAAGCACATAATAATGTTGATGACAATGGTAAGAATTGCTGCAAAACAAAAAGTCTGAAAACCCCCCACAAGATTTGGAAAGTACAAGGTATCTGTAAGAAAGCGTTGATAAACACTATACATATATATTGATTATCAAGTCTGAACACAGCTCATAAATAATTTTTTAACTGTTTGCCGCCTCTTCTCGCCAATTGGCGATGTTTACCACCCAGTTTCTTTGGATTTTCCCCAAAATATGATGGTAAAGTGTTGTTGTTGTTGTTATCGATCCAGCAACAGCTGGGCTCTCGCCCTTCTGTCCAATGCCATGTAGTGATAAGTGCAGGTCTGCTGCAGTTGCTGTAATGTTCCATATAGTGTGTTGTCAATGTTAGGTCTCAGAGAGGAGAAGGGTAGCTCTGATGTCATCTAGGGCTGTGCAGTGGAACAGGTGATGATCCAGTCTCATATGCATAGTGGTAAAGTGTTAAGAATATAAAAGAAGATGGCTCACCTGTAAGATTGCAATGATGAGGCCAAACAATCCGATGGCAGAGCCGAAGATCTCGATGATCAAAATCTTGACAAAGAGGGAGGAGTTGGCTGCATCAGCCAGAGCAGCGCCAGACCCGACCACGCCCACACACACGCCACAGGCCAAGTTGCACAGGCCGACGGTCAGACCGGCCCCAAACATCTTGAAGCCTGAGAAAAAAGGCATAAACGAAATGTACATAGATACTCATCATACCAGGTGAAAAGCTAATAATAATTGGTCGCTTTAGGCACAAGGGGGATATCCTGAAAAATGCTGTTTAGAGAAAATCCAAGGTAAAGCCCTTGTTAAGTTTCTTTAAAAAACAAGGAGAGTTTTCTCTATAACAAAACAAATACACACACCAATGAAACCAAACTTCTCCGCCGATAGGTAGGGCAATGCCCACTTTTGGTGTAGGTGGAAACCCCCGAAATCCGGGTTAGCCCGCTTGTCCTTAAAAGCAACGAATTAATTGGTAACTTGGAACATTTTTTAAAATGTTGCAGTACAGGAAACCATCTGACCCGATTTTTAGTTCTTGCTCAAAACACATTTCTGGTTTATTAATAAAATGTGAAACAACACCAACAGCTAGAAATTAAAGCTTATATTCAAACAACCAAAGTCATGAAGATCTTGATTTCCAATGAGAGACAGGGTTGGTTTTTTTAGATAATACTCTCCTAAAATTTGAAAGTATGTGATAATGTAATGTAACAACGTAGTTAAATATCCCTGCATGTCCCAAAGAGCAAAAACATACTGAATACGACGTTTAAGATATTATATAAATTTGACAGGAAGCACGAGTTACACTATAAAACATATCTAAATTAAGTTTTATTCCACTACAATAACGATTGGTCAATATATCGGCTCAGCTAACAGGTCATATTTCCGCCCAACAAGGACTTTGTTTGTGCTGCCTCCAAGGATCCGAAAATGTTTGGGAACATCAATTGGCCGCTTTTAAGCACACGGGGGCTATCCCGAAAAATGCTGTTTTGAGAAAATTGAAGGTAAAATTTTTGCCCCTTGTTCAGTTTTTTTAAAAGACAAGGAAAGTTTTCTCTATAACCAAACTTGTCCTATAGATAGGGCAGTGCCCACTTCTGGTGTAGGTCAAGATTTCTGGAAACCCCTGAAATCAGGGTTGGCCCGCTTGTCCTTAAAAGTGACCATATAGGGTCTGCCAGGGTAATAAATTTCAAAACATGCGGCTCACTCTCAACATGGGGCAGGGACTATATAAACATAATCTTTTGAGACTTACTTTGCTTTACTTTCCTTTTATCCGTCGCTTATACCCTTTTGGGTGTTGCGGGAATCTTTTGAGAACCCTCCCAAAGTATTTACGCTCTATACATTTATCAACTAACGAACTCTACCTGCTGCGTAGTTTTTGAAGATTTTATCCTCATCTGTCATTGTGCTCAGCTCAAACTCCTGTAAGAAAAATTCAAAACAAACAGTAATCATCTTCTGAAACACATAAAAACAAACAAAAAAAACTCCACCAAATTATAAACAAGTCTTTACCCAAACTGTTTTAACTATACAATACAACGAAGTCCCCTTGCACTCGGAAGAATGAGTGAAGAAACGCAAGCTGGGCAGTGTTGGTTCTTGCTTTACCATAGAACACACAAGAGAAAGGCACTTCGCATTTGTTCATGAATTACGCCACGTCTGAGGCAGTCTGCAGGCAACTAAAGATATGCGAGTTTTTAAAAACACAAAACTGCAAATACATGGGAAGAGAAAATTTATTGTATAGAACAATATAAACAATGACAACTGATATTCATTCTAAGTTGTTGTGGCGGAAATGTGCATGGGCACTTATGAATCATTTTTATTTTAAAATGTCCTTAAAAGCATAATAACGCTATCATAAGTGTCATTTTTTAAGTTTTACTAGAGGTTTTACGGCGTTCGCAACAGCATAAGGTCATATGAGTGCAAGAAGATTAGAGCTGTTACAAGAGAGTAACAAACATAAAAAAGACGAAAGGAAGATAAGGACGATAGATGTTCGATAGGAAAGAAGAAGCAAACCACACCACAGCACCCGACAACCACCCACAAGTGTCATTTGACTTTGGTATCGAAAGAAAAAATAAAGAGCAGAATCACACAGTGACTTACGGCAAGATTGGTGCTGATGACGATGGCCATGATGATGCCATAAATAGCCACAGCCTCACAGAAAATGATACTGATCAAGTTCTTGGTCTTGATACGTGGTGCCTTCACACCGCCACCAGCAATACTCACGCCAGTCGTGTAGATCCCCCTGAAGCAAAAACAAGAGTATCAATCCTAGGACCCATATCCGGTGTTGTACCCTTTAGTTTTACTAAGTGTTTTACGGCACTTGTTGTAACACAATTAAGTCATATTGCAGAAGATTTGTTTTAGTAGAGGTACTGGCTCGCCACTGCATATGGTCATGTGAGCGCCAGAAGATTAGAGATGTCACAAGGGAGTAACAAACACAAAAAAGAAGGAGGGGAGATAAAGATGATAGACGTATGATAGGCAAGAAGAAGCAAACCACACCAGAGCACTCGCCAACCACCCAGAGTGTTGTACCCAAAGTACAAAAGAGGTCATAGCAAAAGAGCTAGTGTTGTGACAAAACGTTCATACTGTGATAAAATTTCAACAAATCTACTCCACAAGGCATTGCCCACAGAATTTGCTTCATTTCCAGTCTGAAAATATATATTTTATGCTTTGACGTAGATCTCTCGTGGAAATTAAAAAGAAAAAAAATGTGACAAGATATACTTGCAGATCACTACATGACAACCGGATGATGTGGAAAGTCATTAAGCAAAAATTCAATAATACAAACAATAGCTCCATTCAACCATCACTATTTCTGTTTTGTTCTCGCAACAGCATAAGGTCATATGAGCGCCAATCACTATTTCTAACAAAAAAGAACTGCAAAACTTTAGCACCAAGTTAGCAATATAAGAGAGCTGAGTTTGTATCTTACCAAGCAGCACCCACAACGGACAAAGAAATGGCCAGTCCGACACCGATGAGAGCCCACATGTACGGGGAAGTGGTCTCGAAAAACCTGTTAAAAAAAAAAAAAAGAACAAAAACCGTCAGTTAATACAGACCCTGACCAAAACATTAGCATATTCAGAACTAACATTAAACGTGTAGAGCATTGCATAAGTGGAAATGGGCTATATAAATTCAATCCACTATATTATAATTACTAACATCCTGGTTTCATCAAACACTTAGTTTAGAAGCCAACCACACTAGTACCCACAATACTATCAAATATAACACTCAAGTAACCACTTCAATACCAGTAACTTGTACACACATATATAGTACATTGTAAGAAAATATTCATAAATTCTGAGAATACGGACAATGACATGGCCCAGACAGAACCTTGATTTTTCTTGAAGTCACGAAGCAAAGTAGTAATATTCTTGTACATTGAATCGCACAGGCACTTCTGTCTCATTTACTCACTCTATTTGCCTAATTCTTTAAAAAATAAATCCAAATGAAAATTACATATCTGAAAGAAACTGGAAAAAAAATATTATGACATATGGTGTGAAAACCAAAGCTTATCTGCAAACAATAAACCCACAGCATCTATAAAAAGATATTTTATTTTAGAATATATATATACTAAAAGCAGTTCAGATTTACGGTGTGTTGCCGACATCACAACTGAGAGGCATAAAGTCATTAATAGCGACAACATGGAGCAAGTTGTGATTAGATTAAGGATAATAAAGAAAAGGAAAATAAATTCACAAAACATCTGAAAAGAATTTAATCAATGTCCCTTACAATAACAGCCGAAACTATCTAAAACGGCCACCCATTATCGAGAAGAAAAGTAACCATCATAGGTGACCCTCTAACAAAACGTCATTCATCATCATCATCCAGTGCCAGATCTGCGACAGAAATTGGCGATCATGGTTCTCCATTCATTCCTTTGCTCGTATGCTCTCAAAAAAGCTCCGTTTCCCCAATTTTTCCCCCTTATCTATCTGTTTTGGTGTACTGTCTTTATGTATAAAATTATAATGTATAAAATACGTTAGGGAGGAGAAATATGAAGAGGCCATTGTACAGGTGATTTGACTTAAACAGGAGGCCATTAGACATGGCACGTTCCACAGCTCCTCTGTACTTTTTGGAAACCTTTTTGGAGATCTGGCAGTCTAATCCAGACCAACACAAGCTGAGTAGATTTTTTTAAGTTTTAAAAAGCGTTTTACGGCACTTGCAACACAATAAGGTCATATAAGAGCCAAAAATTAGAGGTGGTGTTACAAGAGAGTAACAAACACAAAAAAGGAAGAGAGATAAAGACAATAGATGATTGATAGGAAAGAAGGAGCAAACCACACTACAGCATCTGCCAACCGCCCACGCTGAGTGGATTACACACAGAAGAAAAAGAGTTTAACAGTAACAGTGCCATAAATATCCAGCACAAGAGAACTTAATCGTCTTACCAGCCAAAGTCAACCCGAGACCCTCTTCCAGTGATGAGAAAATAAATTCCTGGAAGAGGAGAAAGAAAAGATTGTTAATATTTCATCATGACTATCGATAAAACCCACCAGCAGTCCACAACAAATGCTCTGTCTGTAACCTCACTAGACAGCATGAAAGAGAATACTTATTAAACGCCATGGAAACCCTGCACATTTTTTTTCCTTTCATTAAAAACAGTAAAAAGAAACCACTTTAAAAGATTATTCTTAAATACTTTGTTCGAGGTTGTTAAAAATTGTAAAAAAACACTTAAAAAGATTTATGTCTTATTCTTTGTTGGAGGTTGAAAACAACCTCGGCAAAACACCACTTAAACAAAACCACTTTAAAACACTTTGCTCCTACGGGACGCCGATCGGCGACGGTAAAAAGCCATCCCTTTTCCCCATGGGACGCCGATCGGCGACAGTGTAATATAATTATAGCAACAAAAACGTTTTAGCAACGAAGTGTATACAGACCCGGTAACTGGGAACAAAGTCACGAAGTATACAGACCCTGTAGGGGAACTCTTTTGTGATTTCGGAAAGTTTCAGCGCCCAGACACGGTAGTGTGTTTGTGTCGTGCGTGTGTGTGTGAGAAAGAGGGAGAGAGAGATAGAGGGAGGGGGAGAGAGAGAGAGAAGTGCTAGCAAAATGTATATGACATGCCCCAGTTGGCAGGAGGGAACGAGAGAAAGATAAAAAGGGAAGGCGAGCGATACACAGAGGAGAGAGAGAGAGGCAGAGAAATAGAGAGGGTCACTGCTCGATTGAAATTATGCATTGTTCTTTTCTTCAAATAGTGATTCCTCCAACTCCGAAACGGAGGGAAAACGATCGTTCTTCGAAAAGACATCCTCAATCTTCATTTAGATCTAGATCTAGGCTAGCCTCGAAACTAGATCAATGATTTATGTCTGTCTGTCTAGATCTAGACCTAGGCCATAGATCTAGAAGAACCTAGGTCTTCCCTGAGCCAAGAGGGCGCTGAAACTTTCCGAAATCACAAAAGAGTTCCCCTACCGGGTCTGTATACTTTGTGACTTTGTTCCCGGTTACCGGGTCTGTAGACACTCCCTTTTAGCAATGATCTTTTTGACATGCACACTTGTTAAAGTTAACTTTCCTTTCTGAATGGCTCGTGTGGCCTTTGAGGTCAAAAATCAGTTCGTAAACGGCAGATTTCACGGTGTAAGGGCGAGAGAAACAGCACGGGGCTTATTTTTTAAATAAATTCTCCAGCTGTACTGTTAGGTTTATGGCCTACTGGCCAACTTTTAGAACCGTCTGCGTTGGTTCGTAACCGAGGCATACGTCTATTTAAAAACACGCCAAGTTGGTAGCTCTGTTCGTCAAATGAAATTAGACCCACTTTTAGACATGAGGAGCTCGAAAGGATAGTCAGGAAACAAGACTTCAATTTTCCGATACAAAATCTTTCACTTGATTTTGTGAAATGATACTACCTGATTCAAAAATAAGCTTGTTCGATAGTTTTGAATACCATTGTGCACGAAAAAAGAACAATTTGAGAGCAAAACATTCGGAAATTTACCTTATATTATCCCCTTTCAAACCCCAGATCATTCATTTATTACAACAAGAGCGCCTGAAAAGGTAAATTCGAACAAGCGTACTCGTAATGTCTTCATTCAGCTTTATAAATGAAAGGGGGTTCTTCATGTGTTCTTAACCCTTTACAAATAGAAGGGAGTGTATAAAGACCCGGTAACCGCGAACAAAGCAACGAAGTACACAGACACGGTAGCAGAAATCTTTTGTGATTTCGGAAAGTTTCAGCGCCCTCTTTGCTCAGGGTAGACCTAAGTTCTTCTTGATCTATGGCCTAGGTCTAGATCTAGACAGACAGACATAAATCATAGATCTAGTTTCGAGACCTAGATCTAAATGAAGATTGAGGATGTCTTTTCGATGATCTATCGTTTTCCTCGGTCTTGGTGGAGTTGGACGTTGGAGGAATCAAAGACAATTGGAAGAAAGAACAATGTCATAATTTCAATCCAACAGTCACCCTCTCTACTTCTCGTCCCCCAGCCTCTCTCTCTCTCCTCTGTGTATCACTCGCCTTCTCTACTACTTTCTCTTTGTTTGTCTCTTGTCTTTCTTTCTCCCTCACCTACTTTCCCACTGTATCTTTTTCTCGTTCCCTCCTGTCAACTGAGGCACGTATTTTTTGCTAGCATTATCCCTGTTCTCTACCCCCTCTTCTCTCTCTCTTTCACACACACACTCTCAACCGGGTCTGGCCGCTGAAACTTTCCGAAATCAAAAAAGATTTCCCCTACCGGGTAAGTATACTTTGTGACTCTGTTCCCAGTTACCAGGTCTGTCTACACTTCGTAAATAGAAAGCTTTATAAAAGATAGCGTTATTTTCATCATCGATTAACACACTCCCACGGTATTCATGACGAAAACACACGTTTCCAGGCCCGCTCGCTGTACACCAACAGAGTGACCCTGGCGGCCTGCCCGGAATGTCCGACGTAACAGATCTAGGTTGCTGATAAGATTCGCATCTCAGCACAGACGCAGGACAAGAGGAGAGTTAAGTTTGTAATTTTCTTGAAAACAATATATATAGATTTGCGACAGTTTTAGTGGTTTTTTATGCGTGTGATCTTCAGCACAAGTTTGACCCCCAGGGCAGTGCATCTGTGTGCGGGAGTGAAAGTAAAAATTTACCCAACCTTTCAATTTGAAACATTCTAGCGACATCACTCTAAGATCATGGAGAAAGACTTGGATAGATGGAGTCAGGGAAACACTAACAACTCATGACTCCATGGCATGGCCCATGGCGCATGATGGCATCCCCCTTGCCCCTGACCCAAGCTCTCAGGGTCCTCCTTGTGGCAGAGAGACATCTCTTTCTTCCCACGACGACACCCAAAAGGGTATAAGCGGCGGAAAAAAGTGAAGTAAGGTACTCTCAGATCATCATAATAATGCCGCAAGCCAAGCTTTGCAAGCCAGCCTTGCCCTCCAACTAGAAAAGGTTACATGACATTCACACTCAGGACTCTGTCACTCAACTTGGAGTCACAGTTGTTCAGGCTCAGGCAAATAAATGCCAATCCAAAGCTATTTGATGACTTCGTGAGAAAAGAAAAAGAAGATTTTCGGACATAAATTTAAACTTCTCTGCCTTTATTGGTTTAGAATTTTGTTGTTTTTTTCTTTTGTCACTGTCACATGATTCACATGCAAATCTGACGGGCACATTTCATTATGAAAGGGAATACAACAGTACAGTTCAGTAGTGAGACTAATCAACATAATGAAACTCAAACATTACCGACTACAAGAATCAGAAACGCCGCTGTGTAGACCACAATGCCATAAGCTATTCCTAGGGGTGTTCCATATCGCTTTGTAGGCTCTGTCGGAACAGGCAAAACGCCTGGGGGTGTTCTACTGGCTTGCATCTTCACTTTGTTGATACTCTCAGGATACACTCCGAGTAGATGCTACAACTTCCGTCTCTCATATGACTTGATCTCGCTGCAGATCTCACAAAATCTCGTTGTACGAATCTATCGTAGATAACCGCAAGGTCCGCAAATAACCGATGAAAATATGTAGATTTTTTAAAGAAAACAAAATATAGACTAGTGTAGATCTATGGGCTATCTACAAGATAATAATCTTGTTATATCTTTTAAAACGTAATTCTTATTATATCTATCCTTGTAAAATGCAACCTGAGGGATTCCCACAATATTTTAAGCCAACTCCCAGTGAAGCAAATCATTTCTGTTCTTAGACTTCGGCATTAGGCCTATGTATTCACGTCATAATAAATGTTGTCATAACATTATAGTATTATGTTAGGATAGGTTCCGTTTAGGGTAAATTGGATAATAAATTAATTTTAATTATTTGTAGACTAGGCCTTTAATCTTATTTTAAAAATAATTAGTTAAGTAATTGGTCACAACAAACTCATATTATTCAAAGTATGCATGATTTTTGCACACATTCTCTGTGCGAAGTCAAGGGGCTTTTAATTTAGGCTTTAATTTAAGGTAGGCTAGCCTCTACAGATCGGAACGCTAAAATTTTTAATTTAAAAAAGGAAGGGGGGGGGGGGGGGTTGCAGTGAACGGTAGGGCTACTTTTAACGCTCTTTAAGAGCTGAAATAGTAGGCCTCCATGCTAGTATGGCAGGTATATTAGTACCAAAGTTAAAGAAGAAAAAAACTAATCATCATCATCATCATCATCATCATCATCATCATCATCAACATCATCATCACCATCATCATCAGCATCATCATCAGCATCATCATCATTTTTTGGTAAGCAGGGTAGGAGGGAGAGTCTTGTTTTAATTTTAGACAAAAATAAAATAACAATATAAAATGTTTAAATTTGTTTAATAGCTCAACGTTTCGCCCTGTGGGCTTCCTCGGGAGCAACTGAGGGAAAAACTAAACGAGCGCTGTATATTATTAGCAGGGAAATGGGCCTAACAAAGGTGGTCTTAGGGTTACGTGTGGTTACAGGCTAGACGGAAGTGACTAAGTGGGTGAAAAGCATCATCATCATCATCACCATCATCATTATCTTTGTAGACACCCCCCCACCCCCAATCCAAATGCAAACAAACAAACAAACAAACAAACAAACAAACAAAGGTGAGACTAGAATTTCAGAAATTTTATAAATCCAACACGTACAACGTTTCACCGCTATTATGCTTCCAGAGGAACGTTTTAAAAAATAGTATTAATGACGAGACTAGATCTGGACTACATGCCATCATCATCATCATCATCATCATCCTCATCATCAAGTGCCTGATCTTTGACAGAGATCTGCGACCGTGGTTCTCCATTCATTCCTTTGCTCGGTCGGATGCTCTCAAAAAGCTACTTTCATTCCTGATCTTTTACCGTCACCCTGTTTAAAATTATGCTCTCCCTGGTTGCTCTAGGTCTGTACCCCTGCCTCTTTTGCCCCCAATTATGCCAGTGAGAGATAGATGTTCAAGGCTTTTATTTGAATTTGTGAGGCAGCGTGGTGGAATCAGGCTCTCGTCAAAATAATCAAAGTGAAGAAACTTGCATTTTACCGCAGGTTTGTGAATTTTTATCAAATTTGTTATTTTTGGCTCAACACCTTTCATGCCCATTAAAGAACTCATTTCTGTGTTTATTTTTCTGAAAAACGTTGATTAAAGGCACAAAAAAGTAAATTTTCAGTTACCATGGACTCCTAAGCTAAGGAAATACTAATCTTTGGCGGCCATTTTCACACACTCTAATTTTACCCCCGAAAGCAGCTAGGTGACCCCCACCTCCTTCTTTCGCAAATATCTCGACTTGTATTCAAGATAAATGGATATTTTTTTCATCTAAAAAAAAGACAAGTGAACAAGCTTTAAGATAATACCAATAACTCTACATGCTCAAAAAAATTGTCGAGAGCCTGATTCCACCACGCTGCTTCACATTTATTTAAATTTCTCAGAAACTGCATTGTCTTTTCCTGATTGTTTTTATCAGCGAGCAACCCACGTGGGCTTTCTTTAAGTACGATACTGCTTTATTTGATTTCTTTTCCTTCCGAGAAATTCTCAGCAGTCTCCCAAGAAACCACGTTATTTCTTTTGCTTGTTATGTTGGCCTATTGTGTTTTCACTGTCTTTAGCGATTTTCCAGCATTCACAGCCGTAATAATAATGTACGAGTATAAAACTTTAATTTTGGTAATCATTGAGATGTTTCTATTTTTCAGGATTGGGCTCATTTTAATGAAACTTTCTTTAGCAGTTGCAATTCTTCGTTTCATTTCTGTGGAACATTTAGCATCAGTTGTAATTACAGTCGAACCTGTTTAAGACGGAATCTCAAGGCAACCAGAAAACGTATGTCTTAGACATTTTCCGTTTAGCGGATTTTAGGGACCAGCCGTTGGGATCAAGGGTCGCTTGTCCAGTCGGCAAGCAGTGGTCAAAACTTCACGTCACACCTCTCAATTAGTGCAACCCTCTCTGACATGGCATGCGTCAGTCTTACTTAAATTATCCATTTCCACCAGTGCTTGCATCTCGATCAGTCATAGGACCACTGTCAGGCCGATTAAAACAGAAATGGAACATCTCCTTTGCTTCCACCCTTTGCCCCACCCATCGGTGCAGCAAGAACAGTCAACCAAATCCACCTCTCACTGCCATGTAACAACGATTCGAGGAACTCTTTTCGTGGCTGGCCGTACGATTAGGGCGGCAGCTAGGCCTTCTCAGTTCTCAGGCCTAGGGCGTCAGGCATTGGTCAAACTAATTTCACACCCCTGGCTTCTGGCTACCCGTGAAAGTTTCCGTGCTGGAGCGCCACTCGAGCACTTTCATTTTCACTGGCATTCGTGAGATTTCATACCCCCACCACCCTGACCATCTGAACCGGTAAGGGCTCACATGGATGAGGTAACATCAGATTGCCCCCAAACTGCACCCCTACTCCCTTTCTTTGCCTGACGGCATGGGGTAGAGTTTAGAGCTGGCAGCACTTTGAGACCTGAGCATTCTTTGTTTCTAAGGACTAGTGCATTAACCCGTTCATAGAACGGGACAAGACAATAATATTAGCCATAGAAACATCATAAAGAGTAGGCAGCATGTAGATGAAAGTATACAACACTGATAACTCACGTGGCTGTTCCTTTTTTCTCCCTACACGCGAAAACACAGCCGCTAGATCTATTTTTTCTCTCTCTAAACGTTAAAACACACAAATAGTTATACTACTTAGTATTAATACCGTTTGTTTAAGTTTATTAATTGCATTATTGTGGGGGG